GTGAGTGAGTGTGTGAGTGTGTGTGTGTGTGTGAGAGTGTGAGAGTGTGAGTGTGTGTGTGTGTGTGTGAGTGAGTGAGTGTGTGCGTGTGTGTGTATGTGTGTCAGGACACATCAGGACACTATATGAGTTAGTGTAGGTGTGTTGTGTGTAAGTTTCACTTCATAGGAAACAGAAACTTTCAGCATATCTGTTTCCTCTTGAGAAACACAAGATCACAAATACAGAAGCATACAGAAAAACTGTTGATTTATTGGCATGTATGACATATTAATGACTGCAATGCATTTTATGAACAGTTTTAGTTTGGAACCAGCTAACGGAATGATCTTTAGCTTTAGATTCTTTCAAAGTTATGAACAAACGTTATCTGCTCTTTAATAACGTTAGCACAAAAACATTATTTATACATTGTTCATGGAACGTTGTCTCTGAAACTGCTACATTCGTCAAATGTTTCTTTTTAAATGTTAATACTTGTTTCAGAGAACATTCAAAAGTAACATTTCTCTAATACTTGCAACATGATAAAATAGAGAGAACACTCACACAGCCAAGAAAAAACCTTTAGAGTATGTTTGTCAGCTGCAGGGGAAATGTGATGTCATGGGTTTGCATTGCTTGTGAAATCAGAAGGAAGTGGTTTGATGGTTCTGGCTCTGGGTTTTGTTCTGTACCTGAAGAAGGCACATGGTAATCAATAAGCCCAGCTTTGTTATGAGTCATGATTCGCTTCGGCGTCACCTAAAGGGTTGGTCTAACCAGACTATAAATGAGCAATCATTTACCAGCTTTACATGCTTCATGATCCTTCCAACCAACTTCTTCAAGAAAAGAAGCTTTTATTACAATTACAAAACAGGTCCTGGGGCAGGAGTTGATCTGACAGACGGGTCTATTGCTCTGAGAGTAACTGTAGGCCGGCATACAGATCTCTGCATCATATAGAAAGTACTGTGTAGTGTCTGGTTGACTCCTGCTCCAGGAACTACTCAAAAAAAAAAAAAAAACATGGTGAGTCATTCTGCTCTGACTGAGTTATAGTTACAGTGTTTATGGTTTCTGCTCATGTCTCATTGTTCTGATTATAGAGCTCTTCACCTAAAGACGCTCACGTTATTCTACCGAGCGCTGAACACATTTATTCGTAAGTACATTTAAACTGATGTGCATCTTCACTGCTTTAGATGCTGCTTGCTCAAATTATGTTTTAAAGCAGTGATTCTTAACATTTTTTATGAAAGTGACCTCGTATTGAGGGGGAAATTAATGCAACGCATGTGTAATGATCCTGTTCGTTATGTATAGTTTTACTGGATCAGGAAGATACTTAATTATCAGGAGAAATATGAAATATAGACTGTATTTTTTTACAGCTGTATACTTTAAAAATATTGTATGATTATTGTATTTATCAAGGTGACAAATAGTGGTGTGTCCATGTTTAGAAATAATAATAATAATGAATCAAATCTTATTGTGTATGATAAGATGTCACAAATTATTAACTGATTTCTTCTGAATCGTCTTTCCGATTTGTCTTATATGATTTAGATTTACTTAATTTAGTTAATTTCTATAGTGCTTTATACAGTACAGATTGAGTCAACGCAGCTTGACGGAGAGAAAATAGTTGATTCGGTTCAGTTTAATAACTGTGAGAAGTTCAATTCAGATCTTCAAAATAATATAAATACAATGCTTTCGCATTATACTGAAGATAATATGATTAAAAACAAAGACTCAGTGATATATTAACATGTAAACGAGCAAAAAAGTCAAGTAAAAATTTACATTTATATAACAAAAAAAAAAAGTTTTTTTTAATGAACTTTTCCTTTATTATTTCCAGAAAAAATTCCAAAGATCCTCCTGATTTTCGAAATTACAAAGTAGTTATATTTAATAGGTAAGTGCACATATAGACACATTTTGTAAGTGTGAGAAAGCATGTAAAACATTTTGTTTGTTTTTTACGTTTGATTGTCTTCTTAAAGGATTTGTTCTCTTCCAGAATGAAAATGTTGTCCTCATTTACCTCCACTTATTCCAAACCTGTACGAGTTTCTTTCTTCTGTTGAACACAAAAGAAGATATTTTGAAAAATGTTGGTATCCGAACAGCTGATGGTCACCATTGACTTCCATTGTATTTTTTTCCCTACTATAGAAGTTAATGGTGACTATCAACTGTTCGGATACCAACATTTTTCAAAATATCATCTGTTCAACATACTGTATATAATATTAAAATACAAGGTAAATTGTTAAGAGAATGATGTAATGTGTGTGTGTGTGTGTGTGTGTGTATATATTGCTGTTTATTATTTTGTACATTATTTTCTCCTTTTTAAAAGGTCTCTTTCAAGAACTGAATCGTGTGAGGAGACGGATGAAGATTTTATTCTAAAAATTACTGATTCGGGAATCTTTTATAAAGACTACTCTAATAAAATAAAATCCTTGAAATATTTAATTGATAAAACCAATGATCCATACCAAGATATTAATAGTTACAAATATATTAGTCTCAAAAAGGAAAAGAGTGCCATTTTTAATCGTTTTTTTAATGATCTTGATGATGAAACGAAGAAAACGTTGAAATTGAAAAAGCAGCTTGCTTTTATATGTTTTAGAAAAAAAGATGGATCGTTTGACATGAATAGATGGAAGGTTTACAAAAAATCAGATTTACTAGAAGAAGAGCACACTGAAGATAAAATATTCAAGCTACTGCTAAAAATTTGTCTTGAAGATGAGTGTTGTTATTCAGAAATATATATATTTAGTACAAATAGCCCATGTTTGGCAAGACCCAACCGTGTGCCCTGCATGATCCAGGCTGTTGTTATAGCAAGGATGTTATATAAAAAGCATGGCATAAAAACAACTATTGCATATCTTGAACCTTGGGGTTTCAGTGGTTCGTATGAAAACCTTTTGCCTAAATGCTTTATTAAAGATTGCATTTATAATTTTGAGTCCCAAATGCTGGGAAGCAAAGATATGATTAGTAACTCACTCCAACTCACTCCAACTAATACAATAGAAATTGACATGGAATTAATAAGCTCGATTTACAAACCATTTATTACAGAATTAGAAAATCAAACATTTTCAATGAAAGATACTAAACAAACTGAGACCGAAATACCACGACCAAAACTTCATCTTGCACAATTTTGTTCAAAAATATCCGAACCTGAAATCAAAGAAAATTTCATTAAAGGTATAAATAAAATAAAATCGGATTTATTTAAAAAAGAATATTTAGTCAAAACTTTTGGTGATTTCAAAAAACATGGTTTGGAAATGTTTGCGAAATGCATGAATAAGATATACGATCTTTTAATCGAAATTAACTACGCAAATATTTACGAAGAAATCCACGAATATCTGAAAACCGTTTTCTATCCTTGGTGGGCTAGAAAAATGGAAGATGCATTCAACAAGTTCGTAAAAAAGCCAACCAGTTGCTGTCTACAAGAAAGAGCTTTTTGTCATTCCCTTGGAGACATGGAAGGAACGGAACATTTTCTCGATATTGGTTCTGTGATTCTCGAAAATTTTAATATTTAGAATAAAATGTGCATATTTTGTATTCTGTTATATTTTGCAATTGTAAACATTTAAATAAACAATGCAAATTTGGCTCCTCCGTTGTTGTTGTGCAGTATGGCTTGTGTGTGAGAATGAGTGTTCATGAAAATGTTTTGTTAGACAATAGTTTATGCTGCTTATAAAATCTTTTTTTTGGTAACGCTTTAGATTTCAACCTGCAACGTACTGCGTAAGTAAACAGAATTTACAGTGTAACTTTTTTGTAATTACAGTGTACCTATTCAGTACCTCTGTGTAGGTATAAGGTAACAATATGCGAAGTTTGGAGAATAAATAATTTAATTATAATAAATAAAATTAAAAATTATTTCTGCTGTAAGTATTTTGAAACTAAGGGGTACCTATTCTAATATAACGGGGTATGTATGACCTCTTATATTTGCAAGCGATTAAGCAAAAACATACACTGTGTACTTTTTTATAGCCTACACATATAAAACACGCTGGTAATTGTTTCAATCCAAACGCTCGGTTGAGACTGTTGAGTTAGGAAGCTGGCTTGATGTGACCCAATTTGGGTTGATATCAGCAATAACCCGACGTTGCTGGGTTATGAATGTGGAGGACGTGAATGAGAGCATGCAGCAAGTCACGTGAGTTCAAACGTGAACGAGATATATCCAGCTGCAGCCCCGCAGCACACACGTTTCAGGACACACAATCCAGGTCACCCGTTTCAGGCCGGAAGTGAGGCGACCCATTTATAGTTTAGGGCGGATCTGGTCTTTTTAGAATCACACCACCTGCAGTTTTGTAGCGTAATGCATGTTCTTTTGTTAGATTTAATACAAGCTATTTTTGATAATATTTATGTACAACCTTTAATAACAATACCTGAAATGCTAAAAATGCTGATCATTTATTCATATTAATTTTGATCAATGTATTTAACAAATGTAACATCATGAATTTTGATAGGAGTCATATGCACAACCTTTAATAACAATACCTGAAATACTAAAAAATATTACTTGATTATTTATTCATGTTCATTTTGATCAATGTAGTTAATGACTGTATCACCATAGATTATGTTTCGCAAATAAATTGTTTCGCAAATAAATCCTATCAAAATATGATGATTATAATAATTTTGATCAATTAATGAATGTAACATCATGTTGCATACTGAATTTTATTTGACGGCTGGCTATTATGAGGTAACATTTAGTTCATGTTCATTTTCAACAAATAGTCAAGTAGTCTTATTGTCAATTCAACCATATACAGTGCACTACACCGTAAAACAAAACAATATCCTCTAGGACCAAGGTGCTATGCAGAACGACATATTAAAAACAATATTGATAACACAAGACCGATAACAACATAAATTAACATCAAAACAAAAAACCAATACAAGAATGCAGAAACATAAAGCACTAAAACCTTAAATAAAGTGCACATGTTTTGAGCGTTTAGTGCAAA